CGCAGATGAATTCAGACCTCCACATGAATATGGCAGACAGAGCTCATATTTATACAGTTTTCGACAAAATTAGAATTTAGTTCTATATATCGTTTGGGTTTTATAGTTATTTTACTGCGCACATGTAATATGGGTATGACCGATTTTTTTTCACAAATGACCCATTTTTCCTAGAAGAAGTAGCCTTTATTACCCATTACCGAAATACAACATCTTGTCTAATTTGTTCAATATTTTCTCTATTCTTTTAATTCATCCTCGTTCTTATTTCGAGTAGAAAGGAGATACGTGCGATCTTTAAGAGCAGTCCAAAGATACTTCGAACTGGAAAATATTTTGACTAGGGGGGATACCCACTCTTTTAGTTAAGTAAGAATATATCATGAATTAAATAGTTGGAAGTATCTAGCATTGGCTGTCAACAGTGCTCTGGCATCGACTAAACGCTTATCAATCTTAGTCCTCGTTTTGTTTTGTATTGATGAAGAATTTCAAGTTATTAAGAAGTTTTTCAGCTGTACAATGCGTCTGTTGGAGAAAAACATGGTTTATTTCATTTGTTTATTATAAAAAAATAAATCGGATTAAATGTATAAAATTACTGTACCAAAAATGAAAAATTTATTTAAAAAAGTTCCTGTGTATGATATGCCATTTGAATAAGAAAAAACAGTTCGGTCGATTAATTAGAACTGTATCTACAATTGTATGCCAAATATCATTCTACTACCAAACGGAACATTTTTGAACACGACTATTGCCTTGACCTCTTTTACATTTGAATACCCGATCAAATTCAATAAAGTTTGACGTTGGTCCAAGTACTCTAGAAAATAATAATTAAGTAGAAAGAAAGAAATAATAGTTGGAAATGATTATTTTTTTTTTCTTAGTTTTGTGAACTATCAAAACCGCATGAATGTGGCTCACCGAAATTGTCCGGTTGCATGGACACCGGTTAGAACTCTGTTTGTCGCATAAGAATCAGTCATTTTTGAACACCAAACTTGTGCATAATTAACAAAAAACATTTGTTCTGGAGAATATTTCAATCCTGGTAATTTTTTATCACTATTGTCATTCAATTTAGACCATTTTTTATAAGCCTAAATCAAGCAAGGTAGACACTAACATGCTTTTAAAAAATAAAACAATGAATTGTCATCATGCAAGAATTGTGCCCATGACAACATTCAGATTAACAGACGATACACGTACGGTTAAATAAACACCACATGAGTATTCTTAGAAAAGCAGATTACGCAAAATGCATTTTTCATATAGTTTAGACATTCACATAAACAAGCACAATATTATTTATAGATTATGAGTAAAAATAATACCGAAATTCATCGATTGGATGGCCATACAAATGTTTTTCAGATATTCGTTTTATATATAACAAAAAATTATGATAAACTCCATAACAACGGATACGTGCCATCCAAAGGAAAAATAATTGTTCTCGTGTATAATTCAAACCCGGAAGAAGCTGTTCATAATTTGTTGAAGACCATTTTTTATACGCCTAAATGATTATTTTGCTGACAAACTATGCGTACAAAATGGTCATTTTTCTCATCTATTATCTTATGATAAAAAAAAAACAAAAAAAAACGGAAAAATACAAATAAATTTAACTTACGTAAAAACTTTCTTTGATACCAGCATTATCAGCAATATTTTCTCCTTGAGTTTGATTTCCATTAAGCTTTTTGAAAAATTATCAGAATATATTTGGTTTTATTTATCAGATTTCAAAAAAAATATATTTACCGTTCGATTAATTTGACTAATTGTATAATTACTATATTGATCAACAATACATTTTTTACGATCATTAAATTGTTTTATCGTATCTTCTGACCACCATTGTTTTTTGTTACCATCTTTATCATATTGTCGACCATTATCATCGAAACCATGACTTATTTCATGTCCGATTACGGTACCAATACCTATAATTATTTAATATCATATGATTATTGATCAATATAAAATCATTTCTATTCATTTACCACCATAATTCAAATATTTTGGTGCATCTTTGTTATAAAATGGAAATTGAAGAATTCCAGCTGGAAATGCTGAAAATAAAATTTTATATTTTAAAATTCTAATATTCTAAGCATTCTAATTAATTATACTTATTTGATTTTTTGATGGTGTATAAAATGCATTGACAACTGTTGGTGCACTTCCAGCCCACGCTTTTCGATCAACTGGCTCGCGTAAAACATGAATATTTTCTTTTGATTTTGTTTTTAACATTTGTAAAACATTTTTTATATAAGATAAATTAAATTTATACTAAAAAGTAAATGAAACTATTAAAAGAGAAGAGAAAAAAGGTTTTATTTGAATATACTTACATCGGCATAGTCTTCTTCGAGTTGAGTGATATTGTTACTACCAAGCCAGTCTGGATAGCCAATTTTTCCATCAATAGCACGTGCCTTAAATGAATACATAGTAAATGTCTAAAATTGATACTGTCATAACAAGATAAATGATTTTCTACTTTTTCTACTGCTTTTAATTTTGAATCTTTATCCATCCACATTGTTTCATTTAATATTGATATAAATGCATCTCGAATATAGCCGATCATTTCTAATGACTAAAATAAACAATAGTATAATAGTAAAAAAACATAAACCTAATATGATGTACTGAAGTAATGTTTACCTGATTCCTTGCTGATTCATCAAAATATTGTTTTATATACAACTTTGAAACAGCAAAACCCATATTAATATTAACATAGTTTCCACATTGTGTTGAACGTGATTTTTCTGCTGATGTACCACGAAAGACCTAAAATATTCTATATTTTTTCATTAAACGCTTCTCCACTTAATAAAAATATTGTTAAGTTCGAAGCTTGGCACCGTCAAATCGTGTGATAATATTGAACAAATTGTTAATCTTTTAATGTCAAATATTACCCTCCAATAGCATAGTCAATGCATTAGTGCGTATAATATAGTTTATCCGCTTAGTTTTCAGGAAAATTAGTATTTTGTTAGTGAATGTATATAGGAATTTCAAAGTAATAGGCAAAAAGAACTGTGCGTTAATGTGTTACAGTTCATGATTATTAACGGCATGAGTCACCATATCAAAAGTTTGTTAGAAAGATTTTGGACTTTTGAAACTGTCACTTGTCAACATCCTATATTGATAATAATAGTCGTACTAGGGAATATTTTTCCTTAACAGAAAATAAAAATAAATTTATACCCTTTCAAATTTGTCTTTAATAGCTCGATAATATTTTGGCATATTTGACGCTCGATTTATCATAAATCTCCATATTATATAATTTGCAATTGTACTAAGAAAAAAAACAAGATTAAATTGTGTATTAAGGCTGTTTAACATAACAATAATCAACATACCGAGATGGATAATTCTGAAGAAGTTCTGTTGCATTTCTTAAAAAAGGTAGATCATTAATTGATACAACATCATCATTTTTTAACGTAACATTTCCAAATTCGTAGGAATTATACAAATATGCTGTAAAATTGAACTAAATTAAACTGTTTTATATTTAATATTTTCCATAAATAAATAATTTGAATACATACTGTAGTATTAAAATCTCTCGATAAATTTCCAACTGTTGTCCGTATTGTTTCATTTTGTCGTGCACGTTGTTGTTCAGCATTTGTTAAATGATACTATAAAATATAAACATCTATCATTTAGAAGAAGAAAACAGAAACAAAAATAAATAGATTATTTCTACCTTTGCTAGATTACTTTCAAATTGAAATATATCTTTGACATCAGCATTAATCTTTGTCGTATCAGTCAAACTTAAATTTGACAAACTTAATGCTAAATCACGCATAAATTCTTGATAGGGTTCAGTAACATTTGCATCATTATAATATGTTCGTTGTTCTAAAGCAATATCACTTTGAGCAATCTAAAAGTAGAAATTAAGCTATTTTAAAATAAATATTTATGTTTAAATAATTAGTCAATTACCAACCCTAATACAATAAGCAGATGAATTTTTATCATCTGTCGTTGTTGCAATACTAAATATGATATTATTATTATATTCTCGTAATTTCAATAGTATTTTTAACAAATTAAATGTTGAATTGTTCCAATTATCACCCAACAATATTGGCCAACCATTTAATTCATTATTAATCAATGTTAATAATGTATCTGTGCCATCATTTTCAATAGCAGCTAAAAAGATCAATTAAAGTTAGAGACATATAGATTCTTAATATAAAAAAAAAGAATATTATCATTTTACCCTCATCTACACATGATTGATACATATTTCGCGCATTTTTAATCGCTTCCGGCTCAGAATCATTTCCTAACGATGTTAATAATGCTAAAATGATGAACTCAACATAGTAGTAATCGACAATACTATTATTATGTATTATGTTTACATACAAACAATATTATTATCTAATTCTGTTTTTAAGATGTTAAATGTGTCTTGTGCACCACTGTCTTCCGGAATTTTACTTGATTTTAGCCATGAACCGCAAGCAAATTGAAAAAAATCGTCACAAGGCTCAATCGTTTCATCTAAACTTTGTAGTAAATAATTTGCTTTAAAAGAAAAAAGAATGAAAACATAGTTACAATAGAAAAAATTGGTAAGAATTATTCGACTACATGAAACTCACCAGCTTTGATACAAAAAGGCGTCAAACATAATTGATCAGATTGTGTAACTAAAAATAACAAAAACTGTATTAGAGTTACGAATACTAATCTAAGTCACAAATTGCACCTTTAAGTTTGTTAGCTCTAATTGATAGACAAAACTAATGACCGTTTTTTGTTTTTATTACTTTTTGTTTTAATCAGTATCATCATGTTGAAAAAATTGTTCAAAAGTTATTGTACATATTTGTCAACAACTTGGATAAAGCGAATTGTGTAGTTTCAATGAAAAAAACTTTATCAGACTAGAACTACACTAACAGTTTCTCATATGGGGTGTGGTATAAAGCACGCTCATCTATAGAATTAAAATTTTCTTCAAAACAAAATTATTCCATTATCCATATCCGTGTGCAATGTCAAGTGTATACCTCAGAATTTATATGATTTTTATATTTCACTGAATTCTTTAAAAGAGCTTTTCAACAGTCTTATCAGCCAGACTTATCGAAAAATCTAATCTTTCTGACTTGACTTCAATCTTTTTTTCAAATATTCGGATTTGTAGAGAAAATATTTCTTGCTCTAAGAGTTTTCCAAAATTCTCACTCAATTTAAGTGTTGGATAGATCAGAATAGTTTCATTGGATAGAGAACTGTTATCGCTTTAACAGTACAGAGCCAGATTTGTGAGCTTTGAAAGATAAGGAAAACTAAGAATCTCTGAAAAATCTGAAAGAGATTTATTGTATCCCTGATGAAAAAATGTTTCGCGGCAATCAGTAGCACAATTTCAACAAATAACCGTTTCTGTATCATCGAAGCGACAACATTTCCTATGAAATGAAACCATTATGGACTCTCCTATACTTAAATTCAGTGAGACTTTAAGAAACCCACTGTCCTGTTTCCACCACTGTTGTGACCACATCTCGCAAAGGGAAGTAGATGAAGTCCCCAAAAAATTTCGTGATCATACTTTGGCATAATCAACATTCCCTGAAAGTTTGGTTCAAATCGAACTTGTAGTTAGAGATCTGCAACCCGACTAACGTCCGACCCTAGGATCGAGTTCCGTTGAAGCTTTTGCGGCGCAATTCAAAATATAAATAATAATTTCAATTTTGTATTTACTCTTTGACTTGAACGTGATCTCTACTGAAATTTCCAGTTCAAATACTTATTTCAAAACAACTGTATCCACAAAGCCGATTAATGATTGCTTTCTTTGGACAGAAGGTTGTCGGATCGGATTCAAGTCGGCATTTTGACCGTCGAACAGGCTTCGGGTTACATTTTCTTAATCCATGCAGGTCTCTACTTGTAGTTACTGAAATAGTTTTTTGACAGGTGAGACTTTGAAAATCCTTGTCGAAAAGAACGAAGAGAAAACTTAAAAGCGGTTCATGTCATTTTACAGAGGCAGATGTTTAACTCATTATAGAGTCACTCTATTTTTTTCGGTATCGTTAAACGTAAGAAAATGATACTTTTTAGAATTTTGCACCATAACTAACTCTAACTTACCATTTTTATTTCTGGCTATTCCAAATAGTATCGCTAATACAATTGTTGATATAAGAAAAACAGCAGTTAACAATGTTAGAATAATAATAATTGATTTTTTTGATCCATGTTGTTTTGTACTAGAATGTATCAAAGTTGAATTTTAATTAAAATTATTATTATTGTTCACAATTTCTGTCACATGCGTAGAATTATTCAATCGAATGATCAATTGTTATGCTATGTCGATGGCTTCTTTTTTTAGTCAGAATATTAATTTATTGGAAACTGTTATTGTATACAGATATTAACAGACATAGTAGAATAATTAAATTTTTGAAAGAAATATGGTGACAATTGTGATGAAATTTAAGAAACTTTAAGAAAACATAAAGAGGAAGATTCGTATTTGGAAAAAGGAAAACAGATCGACAGTCTACGACTAGTATGGATCAATGCAACTCGTATCATTTCTTGCCATACAATTAGTCTTATGTGATAACAACAGATTATTGAATTGTTTAGGTCAATGGCAATGGTAGTGTCATAGAGAAGAAAAAAACGAACAATAAGACCTTTTGTTTTGTATATTTTTCAATTCTGATGTTTTTTTTCTATTCAACTAACGAGTGCTGTGGTAAAGGAATTCTATGGAATCATTTTTATATCTGATATGCGTCATATTTATAGTCTATGTATGATATATGAAATCAAAACTGAAACAGAAACTTTTCTTATCAGTAAAAGGTACTATAGGGCACATTTGATTTTAGATCGAACACTTTCATTTTATCGAAACGCAGAGATTCGCGATAGAAAAAAAGCAATTGTAGTACCTGAACATATCGATGCAATTTTATAATTGAAAGAAAGAATAAAAATAAGAACTTGTCTATTCACGATTAACAGTAATTTAATTCTTTTTTGAGAATTATGAAGATGATTTTCTCTTCTATTTGGCCTAAATAAACCCTTACTCTCAATATTCTTCCTTAATATTATTTATTATACATGTTCTAAAGGTGACTGCAAAATGCGTTGTTTTTTTACCGTACATAGAAAAAGATTGTATTATGCACCTATAATGCACGTCTTAATTTTTTCTCTACATTCAACTGATAAGAAGAACAGAAAATATCTTCTAAACACGTAGAGAGAAAATAGCAGCATTTTATCACAACAAATGGAATAATACTGATAAAATTTATCCTTATACAAATACGATCCATATTTACGTGAGTCAGAAATGCCAAGTGCTTTATGTATGAGGATAGTGTATCGTACATTTTCAAGTTCAATATGCGCAAAACAAAAAAGCAGACAAACAGTTCTTATTTTTATTATTCTTAATGATTTGATTCTTATATAATTACAATAATTGACTTATTTATTTCTGTTGTACTCAGTTATCAATTTGAAACTATTGTATACAATAAAAGATAATATTTTATCCCAAGTGCTTACATTCGATGATCAACTGTTAATGAGGTATCCGATCGGCTTACTCTCACTACTTAAACTCAAAAATACTACATTAACTCTTATTTATTATTATTATTATTATTAACTTATGTTAAATGTATACTATCTAAGAAATTAGATTTATATAGAAATAAAAGAATATAGTCATTTCAAACAATTGATAGATGCTTGTGTTAGTAATTTGAATGTGTGATTGATTATTTGAAAAAGTAGTTCTATACAAAGAAAGACGTACGAACCTATTTCTGTTCTCAATAATATATTCGTTTGCATTACTATTTCCACTAGACATATTTTTATCTTATCATACATGTATCTATATCCAATAGTATTACATCTTTAGTGAGCTACTAAGAAACATCAAAACATACTAATAATAGTTTTTGATTAATCGAGTGTCAAAAATAGATGGGTAAAAAATCACATCAGAGTGTTTTATGATCCACTTGATCAGCTGATAATGACGATTGGTGACATAGCTGCAGGTTGAATAAATGGAAAGAATCTAATCTTTATGGTCTTTTCCATCATCTTATTTGTTTCTTGTAAATACAAAAACAACTCAAGGCGTTAAATGAATAAGAGAAAGAAAGGAAAAAGGTCCATGTACACTTATCTATAAATATAGATAATAATAATTGTAGAGTTTTAATTTTACGTTTTTTCCTTCAATACTCTAGACAAAATCCCACACACTTCTTGTTTATTTCCTACTACGATCTTACAAGATTCTAACATTTTGAATCCACCTAACTTCCTAAAATACTGGGATCCTACTAGGATTTCGCTTAAGCTTGTTTAGGATCCTAACAGAATCTTAGAAAATCCCGTGACTTTCGGGTATACCTGATTTCATTAGAATTCTATAGGATTTTGTTAGAATCCTAAGAAATTAAATCGAAATCCTAGCAGGATATGTCCTGGATCTCGTCAGTAAATTCATAGGGATTTTACTAGGATAAGTTTGAGTACAAATCACATAACAGTGGAAGTAAATGTTTTAAAAACAAAAACTGTGTTAATTCACAACGCCGTTTCGTGAAATAAACCTAAAATATTCTACAAAGGAATAAAAATTGAATATGTGAACGCTTTTAAATATTTGGATGTAATACTTTCTACCAAATTAGGATGGGATAATTACATCCAAGATAAACTAAAAAAAGTTCGAAAAACGTACAATGATCTTAGAATAATTATGGATACATCCCAAAAGATGCAGTTAAATTAAGACGAAAAATGTTCCTTGCTTTTTCTTTCCCACATTTTATTTGGTTGTTTAGTACATGATTCTTTTTTTACAGATAAACAACAAAATAATATAGAACATGTTTTTTTGTCCAGATTTGAAAATTGTCTACGCGTTGTGGGGATGGAATGATTTATCTACTTTAGTTTTAAGTTGTGAATTACTCTGTGATTATATTTTAAGTTATTGGATTAAATTCAATAAACATTTTGATGATTCTTTACAGGCGAACTCCTTTCATATGACTTGGGATGGTTGCTTACTTAATCTCAAAAAATCCGTGCAGAATCGAGTATCTTTTCTGTGGCTTAAGAAGAAATAATTTCTTTTTTAAATAGACTTGCTAAAAATGCAAAATATTCTAAAGTGGAATAGCTGACATTTCTGAATAATCAGATTGAACAATATGCCATATTTAAAAAGGATCTCTCTCTCTCTTCTTAATGATTTTGTTTAAAAATATTTTATTTGTCAACAACTTTCGTGAGAATTTTTTACTATTTGTGAAGCAAACTTTGTGTAATTGATGAGCAAAACTTCGACAAGCTAGATTTTAGTTACTATGTGTTGTTTTCATTATTTATTATTTTTATTTTGTATAAAATTTTTCTTAAAAGACATGATAAGTATTGACAGGAGATCATTTGTCTTTTTTTCTCTTTTGATTATTTATGTATCTTTTTTCTTTCTTGATACGTGTAGAAAATAATTGTTAACCTTCTGAAAACAAAATAAATTTCAATATTCAAATCACATACAAGTGGAAATTTCCTCTTTAAATAATATCTTCTTCTTGGAAACCGTATTTGATCGAAATAATTAAGGATTTAATTATAATTCTTCTTTGTCATTTTTGTTTATTAACAGAAATATTTAGTGTTAAAAGTGGAACTTAGAACGAAGTGAAGTGAAACATTTTAAAATCACAACAATAAGATTGATGAATTTCTGAGTTTTATTTCTCATTTTCTTGCGTTTGCAAAGATTTTAAGAATACAAATGATTTTTTTCTTTCGAAGTAATGAAAGCAAACGAAAATTGTATAACATCATTGAAATAATACTATCATATTGACTGAACAAGAGACTTATGTATTTTATGTTTATACAGATGACTTGAAACAAAGGAAGAATTCATCTAACTTTCTCAGACGACTAAATTATAATAAAATAATGTCAAAATATATGTGTGTTGGTGTGATAAGATAATGTATAAGTGAATTTTTTGAAACTATTTAGACTTACGAGTAATTCTTCAACATAATTTCAAAAATTAGTGTTATTATCAGCATATTTTTGAGTTATGCTAATTACCCAATGAATTTTTTTAAATACTAAAAATTTCTTTTGAACAAGTCAACCATTTTGTTAATGCGTTTAATGGCGTTGAATTTTATTATGTTTACGTTAATTGACTCAAAGAAAATTTCTGATGTGTTTACATACATTAAATTTTGCATACCAATAGTAAACGAAAATTATACAACGTTATTAAAAAATCGTTAAAACATATAAGCGGTAGAAAATGTCTAATTTTAAGAGTTTAAAAATAAATTTTTGGTGTCAAACAAATTTAATGTGTATTTTTTACCTGTCTTGAAATACTTTTGACACTTCCAGACATGTACTCCATCGTTTATGAATGTAGAAAGTTAAGTTAGATTTTTTCATAGCACCTTGCGGCTAGTTTCGCTC